CTTTAAATCTGCTATTTGTTTGATGCTGGAATTGTTTAGGGTTTCTGTTTCTGTCCTTTGTTTCTATTCTTTCTTTTCTGTATTTTTTAAATATTTTTTTACTGAATTATACTGTTTTGAATGGTTTTTTTTCTTGCATTATATTTAGTGTGACAAGCTAAAACAAATAAAGCCATACCAAACATGACTATTTTTCCTCCAAGAAACAGGAAGCAGTTGTTACCAAGAACAGCTAGACTGAGTTTTAATGAGTCAGTTTCCAAAATGCTGTTTTGATTGGAATAAACAACCTCATGCACACACACTCAATTCAAAAATTAATAGTGATGGAAATGTGCTTTATGTACAACTGACATGGATACCCAAGAACTGTAAAATAAGAAGACTGATCTAGTCAGTTTCATATGGTTAAAATATCTTAAGTTGCTTTAAATGTTTTTAAAATGTATATATACACTCTTTTTGCAGTTGTACATCATATATACACATACATTCTCATATAGTGCAACACTACATGTTCATATAGTGCTCATATGTCTGTGTTCTCATATATGTGCATATGCATATAGGTATACACACATTTTTGCATACTGTATGTGTGTGTGTATATATATATATATGTATATTTGTGTATATTTTGCAGAGTTTGAATTCTACATTACCTCTTTATTATTTTTCAAGGCCGTTATTCTAAAAAGACAAGAACATTCTTAACCTTCAAGGAACATAAAATAACAAAGAACAAACCTGTTACATGAAATCCCCCAAATCCATTTCCAGTTAGTGTAACAACTGTCTAGTGATTTATTCCAGGTGGCCAAAAGCCTGGCCCAGTTAAAATTAACTGGGTAAGCATTTAATTTTGTATCTATAACCAATAGGCAAAGAATGATCCAGAGATATGTAGATTCTAAAGCCTGCTAGCTGCTTGCTCTAATGGTTTCCATATCTGAAAGTTAATTATGAAGTGGAAATCAAAATTATTTTTGCTATCAACCTCAAGGTTCCAGCAATTAAGATATTAACAGGAGTTAACTGTCATCTATACAGTTAATCTGGAAGTGACCCATAAAAGCAGTGCACATCTGTTACCAGGTCATACTCAAGGCTCTAATTAAGATTGCTGCATTAACCTTTATGGAAACTATTTTTCAATTTCTAAGTGAGGAATTCATAGACGTATAAATTAACCAGAAATCTTGAATTTATTTATTTTTTAAAAAACACAACACAACCTCAAATGTGAACATGCTAAGTGTTTTATAAGGCTTTCATCTCTCTCTACATCTATGCACTTACAAGTATCTACACACACATATATATGTATGTATGAGTATTTCAGAAAAAAAGGAGCCATGCTCTCAGTCCTGCTATAGCTACATCAGTGCTGTGTGGTACGGCATTCCTAAAGTCACTGATTACAATTCTTTAATCTAGAGGAAATGGCTGAGGAAAAGGGCACAGTAGAAGAATGCTGTCAGAAGCTGGTTCTGAAAGAGTCCTGTCTGTTGCCACTCTTATATTAGTAAAAGACCTAAAAATGGAAATTCACAGATATTCACATTGCTATTTAAGATACCTTAGTGTATCAGTAACATCCATATAGGGTTGGAAAATATCACATGGGACTGAAGGGACACCTAATCTCTTAATTCCAGAGCACCAGCTGGAATTCAGAAGGCCCCAGAGTGTATGACACTGTACTTGAATACTTGTGTTTAGTTCCACTGTTAAATTCCTCAAGACTAAATACCACATGCTACATTAGCATGTATGCTAATGGAGTTGTATGAAAGGAGTTGATTCAATGCTAAGCGTACTTATAGAGTATTTACTTTCTTGTTAGCTCTGTGTGTCATGCTAAACATTTTAGTCTGTGTGTTGTGCTGTGGTATACAGTCTTATTTGTCCATCAGTGAATAAGGCAAGAGCTATAGATGTCATGCATCTGGACTTTTGTAAGGCCTTTAACATGATCTCCCACAATATCCTTCTCTCTAAATTGAAGAGATATGGATTTGATGGGTGGACTGTTCAGTGAATCAGGGATTGGCCAAATGGTTACATCCAGAGAGTAGTAGTCAACAGTTCAATGTCCAGATAGAGATTAGTGATGAGTGGTGTCCCTCTGGGGTCTGTACTGGGACCAGTGCTTCTTGATATCTTCATCAGTGACACAGACAGGGATCAAGTGCACCATCAGCAAGTTTGCAGACGACACCAAGCTGAGTGGTGCAGTTGACATGCCTCAGGGATGGCATGCCATTCAGAGGGACCTGGACAAGCTCAAGAAGTGGGCCTATGTGAATCTCATGGGGTTCAACAAGGCCAGGAGCAAGGTCCTGCACCTGGACTGAGGCAACTCCTAGTATCAATACAGACTGGGGGATGAAGGGATTGAGAGCACCCCTGCAGAGAAAGACTTGGGGGTACTGGTGGATGAAAAACTGAGCATGACCTGGCAATGTGCACTTATAGCCCAGAAAGATGACCGTGTCCTGGGCTGCATCAAAAGAAGTGTGGCCAACACGTCAAGGGAGGTGATTCTGGCCCTCTACTCCACTCTTGTGAGACCTCACCTGCAGTACTGCATCCAGCTCTGGAGTTTCCAGTACAAGACAGATACGGACCTGTTGAAGCAGGTCCAGAAGAGTGCCACAAAAATTATCAAAGGAATGGAATACTTCACCTATTTCTAAGACAGGCTGAGAGAACTGGGATTGTTCAGCTTGGAGAAGAGAAGGCTCCAGGGAGACCTTATTGTGGCCTTTCAATATTTACAGGGGGCTTACAGGAAAGACGAGGACAGACTTTTTAGTAAGGCCTGGAGCAACAGGACAAGAGGTAATGGTTTTAAACTAAAAGAGGATAGATTCAGACTGGATATAAGGAAGAGATCTTTTACAATGAGGGTGGTGAAACACTGGAGCAGGTTGCCCAGAGAGGCTGTAGATGCTTCATCTCTGGAAACATTCAGGGTCAAGTTGGACAGGGCTCTGAGCAACCTGATCTAGATGAAGGTGTTCCTGGTTGGGCTAGGTGACCTTTAAAGATCCCTTTCAACGCAAACAGTTTAATGATTCTGCGATTTGCATTTCTAGTTGTAGATGTTTCCTTTCATAAATGTTCCTGTGTAATAGAAATGTAATTCTATGAAAAGTGAGAGGTTTGAATCTTTGCTTTATCTTTTCCAGCAGCATCTTGAACATTGTATTCCAAAATGAATCCTCACAGTTCCTTCTCTTTCAGATCTGGCTTGTATTTCATGCTGTCTCTTCCCAAAGGTTGGCCATCTATGATCCTTATGTGCAATATCTGCCATATCCTCAGTTGGCCCACTTTGATTTTTAGACTAACTGCTCTGTAGCTGTGTAGCTGGGAGGTGTTTGCAACAATGGCTGACAGAGTGTGACCTTTCAAAGTTCAAAAGTTCCTCATTGTTTTAGTAATTTCTTTTGAGCCTACACATAGGCATATGTGAATCTGAACAATAACTACAGAAATAAGAACTCATGAAGTACCTTCATAAAAATCTATTCCACATACAAGTGTATGTGTTGCTTGTAATTCTGACAGTGCAGTAATACTCTACAGAAGTTAAATAACATTACCAGAAATAATATTTTGATGTCTTCAACGGCACTTCCATTCTTTTTCTATAAACACTTATCAAATGAATTCCTGCTTCAGACTAGAGATGTCACAGTGTCCTAAGATCAAGTGTCGTAAAATAGCTTTCACTGCTATTAATCTTCTCAGCAAAGACTGAAAAGCTAGAACACCTTGTAACTGCTGTTATGTTTCTTGCCTATGAGGTCAGGCTGGTATGGATCTGGCAAATTAGTTGAGTATAAATCTTTTGTTCTGTCTGATCTGTACCTTTAAAGAAGAAATGAATAGGTAGAATTTCTAAGCCACTTTTTTTACTGCACAGTTATTAGTAATAATGATACCCAGACAGATTACTATTTTTTCCTCTGTACAAACTGTCAACATCTCAGAGAGAGGCTTTCTCTTTGTTCTTGAGGCATTCTGTCCAGGACCACAAAGTTTATAACACTCTTTATTTCCATAGCTTATTTTTCCAATTTATTCTCTACCCAGCCAACTATATAAGGAAGTTAGTTTTCTCAGTTATGTTTAAGACTCATGAGATAACAGAATGAGACAAGTTAGGTTCACAGCTACTAGTAAGCAAAATAAGCTTATATCTGTGAACCTGTCTGTGGAATCAAGCTAGCTCAGTGGAATCAGCTCAACATTATAATGTACAATAAATATTGGCTTATATACTCTAGGATTCGGAGACTAAGATTGCTCCTCTCCTACTTGTCACACATTTATGCAGTCTGCTTCTAGAATTATGAAAATCTGCCTGTATGTTTTTAGGCAAGCTGAAAAAGGGAACTCCAAATGATAGTATTATTCTTTAACCAAAATACTGCATTATCCCATAAAATGGTAGATACTGGAAAAAAACCACATACTGTAAAACAAGAATATGGAGGAAACTGCCAGCCTGACAGACACCAAAGTCAAATAGTAACAAGTTACTATTGTGGTTGCTAATGGCAGCAAAAAGGATGCGTGTCCACCTAGGGAGACTAGGGCTTTAGGATTTGCATGTTGGTGTTTCATGTTTTTTATAGAAGCTGAAATGAAACACAGTCTTCTGGCTCACAACCTTAACTGGGCAGACAGTCTTGTAACACACATATCACTACATATGTATTTCTGCTACACTTGGAATTACAGATGTTAAGGGACTGAGATTTAGAAAAACTAATATACTCAATAAAGTTACCAAGATACAATGTATAAATATAGAAACACCAAGATACAAGATATAAAATCTTTCAAAGATTTGATTTAATCTGTATTTCATACAGAATACCTAAGTGATAGGAAAACAAATGAAGACAAATTTAAACACATGTATCTCTAAACTTTTTGCAGAGCTTGAATAACCATGTATCATCATTATCTTCTATTTTTTTCAGCCAGCAGACTTTATAGGAAAGCAGGCACTGAAGCAGATTAAAGAAAAAGGGCTCAAACGACGACTTGTATATCTCACCCTGGAAACAGATAACGTTGATCCAGAGGGAAATGAAAGTGTGTGGCACAATGGCAAGGTGAGGACTATAGATCATGTTACAGGAAACTAATGTTAATTCTCCATCAACAGAATCTAATTTTTTGTTTCAAGTGTGAGTTAATTATTTTTGTTTTTCTGGCAAAAAACAATTTTAAACTACTATAACAATTTCTTAATTTAGGAATGAAAGACTAAGTAAGTATCTACAAAGAAAATACGAAATAACACTAAGTCACAGAAACTAGAGTTGGAACAGATTAAAGTATTAACTTATCTATTCTCTTCTCCTCTTTCACCATTGTGAACACATTTTTGCTATTCACTTAAAAGAAACAAAACGACAGCAAGGTTTAGGCCTTCACCCTTCAGCACAGATTACGCATTGAAATGCTCACGAGCAGTTAAATTATTGTGTACCACAACCCTATGTATGCGTATAATGTTTGTTCCAGAGAAAACTTCATTGAACACAGTAGGAATAGATAGGTTTTCTCAAGGAGCAAAAAATTCCCAGTTTAAGGTAATGTCACCCACAGTAGAGAACATTATGAACTGCTTGACACACGTGAAACTTGCTTGATGTCTGAAGTGTATATACCAAAACTAGTGTATGAGAAGTGTACTTGGTTGGTTTGTTGGGTTTTTTTAGGAAAACCTCCCTGCATCTTGAAAATAAAGATTTTTTTATTTTTTTTTTCAGGTTATTGGCAACACCACATCTGGAAGTTTCAGTTACAGTGCTCAGCAGAGTCTGGCTTTTGCATATGTTCCCACAGAACTCAGCAAAGTTGGACAGAAATTAGAAGTTGAACTTTTAGGAAAAAATTATCCAGCAACCGTTATACAAGAGCCATTGGTGCTGACTGAACCAATGAGAATGCGCCTTCAGAGAAAGGGTGAAAGTCCCAAAATATAAACACAAATGAGGATCTAACAAATTGTCTTGTAGGAAATAGTTCAATTAATACGAAATTAATGAAATTAAGAGAAACAAACTATTCAGATTTGCTAATTACTAAATGCAAAATCCTCATTGCCATACATGAGTGAGAAATTCAATGGTGTTAGGCTCTTGCTTCCTTGTATAGGCCATTCATGTTAGAGATCTGAGCACAGTTCATCAACCAGTATGCGTTCCCCCTTCTCTGTGGCACTTGTGAGCAGAAAGTGGCAGGGAATGAGTAGATCCTTGATTCGGCTTGCTCCCACATTGACTAGCAGATCTGAATTAATGAAGAGCAGAAAGTTGCTCTTGGTATTGTCCAATAGCAAATTCTTCCTCCTCCTCGACACTCACAGTTCCTCCTTTGCTTGTCCTCAGGGTAAAGTAGCTTATCCTGGCTTCTTACCACATGACATCACAAACTTATCATTAAAATAACGTCACTAGTTCCACACAGAAATGCTTCCTAAGGAATTGAAATACATTCCAGCAATCCTTAAAAATAATAAAGGCAATATTAAAGGCAAAATGAACTGTTAACATTTTTCCCCAACATGTCACCCTGCAAAAATTCTCACAGAAGATCAAAATCTTGTTCTTAATGAAACAGTTATAGGAAAGCTATTCTTCATTATTTTATATGAATCATCTAGTAAATTGCATGTAATGTTCTTGAACACATAGGATGTTATTGCTCAATTTTGAACAGAACATGTAGTACTGTATCTTGGATTTACTGTTCTAAATCAAGAGCTAGACTGACACCAAAGAACCTCTATTACGCCTTTTCCTGTTAATTATAGATTGAACAGCATTAAGAGCCATATGTCATTGCACAGAAGTATTAACAATGAAAAAAATGTAAATAAATCCACACCAGAGGAGCTTTATTCAGTGTTAAATATTCAGTAACCCAAGTGAGCAAGATTGGGATAATGTAAATTATTAAAACACTCTTCTGAATTCTGTGTTCAACAATTCTTTTGAATTATAACAATGTGACAATTTCCAACTTACAAAGAGTAATGCTCCTCTCTAGACTACAGAGAAACCTTTTCAAAGTACATATGAATATAAATAATGTCCACAATGTACTTCTCCAAAGGAGTTGGTGCTTCTAAATCTGCAGCAAAGAAGCAAACATATAAACAGAACATACCAGGAGAAACACAGTTTTAATAATGAACCCTGACTCTTGCTGAAGTAAGCTGGCATTACATTATGCTGTTCTGAATATCTTTTACAAAACAGATCAAAATAAAATGTAAAAGCTTTGACCAGTTTGCATGTATTACAATCTAAAGTGAAAAATCCATTCAGAAATTACTCTCCGTTATCCCTTCAAAAGTACTTTAGTTGTACTTTGCTGAACCAGAGATACTACGTTTTCTAAAGATGACATTATTTGTAATGAGTCACTTAGGCACTGTGTTTCCTTGAGCATTTAAGAAATCTAAAATACAACACTACATGGTTTTATTTAGACTATGAAGGAGGAGAGCAATTCTTAGGAACATAATTTTGAATTTTGGTATTTCCCGAGAGCATGCAAATTCACTAGATACCATATCCTGGAGTGTACAGTAGCAGTTATCCTGAGACAGGCTCTCACATATAGTTTCCTAATAAGCTTTGCTATGCCAAAACACTGTTTCAGCAATGCCTTCCACATCCCAATCTGAAAGTTAGAACCAGGTTTCTAACTCCTTTTCCAGCTTGGAAGAAAGAAGTGCTATTCATTAACAAGTAAACAAGATTGGTCTGACTCTGCGGAAAGGGCAGGCTTTCTGCAGCCTGAACAAAAGATAATGAATCACACATGTAATTCCTGCACTTGAGTGAACTCAGAAACTGCCCTCCATGGGCCTGTACCACATTTCCAGCTGTAACTTCCCAACGCCTGATTTCTCCTTGTAGCAAATGCAGACAACTACCTGTCTTACTTTATAGTGTAGTGTACAGGCCCAAACACTGATTTCCTTGTGGGCTTCTCATTGACAACTGTTGTCACTCAAGTCTCACTAAAATTGAGCATTGACTAATTCCAATTTAGTTTCAGGATTTGGGTAATCAGGCAAAAAAAAACCAACCACCACCATTGCATGCTGTTTATGGGACAAGGCAATGCAAGGTAGAAGTTTCTTTCTTACAGCCAACTTCAGACCAAAACAACTTTCTGTTCATCACTGACCATATATAAGACAAATGGAGTATCTTAGAGCTTGTTGCACTCTGTTCCCACTTGGGAATGGCTGTGCTTTCTGTTTCACAATGCATTCAGGACCAGAGATACCTGAAATAGTTTTAAGCAAGCATGGCTGAGCATTATAAGTGCTGTAGCTGTGATAGCCATGTGTTTGACGGGGTTTCCTTGTGGACCTTGCTCCTTTTTTACTGCTCTAATACCCAAGTCAGCTCACTGAGTATTTATTAGGATAGGTCAACATTGCAGCACTTTGCACAGCATGGATAAACTAAACTGTGAGGGGATGAAGCTTTACAAATGGCTACAGAGAGGTTCACAGAAGTAAGTCAATCTTTCAAGGCTATAAAAAATATATATATAAACCTGAAGAAATGAGGAAGGAAGAGCATTCAGCAGCTTTCATAGTTTCCTTTCACTGCTTCTTTTTATTACAGTGTGTGATATGGTGTTGCATAAACTCGTGGTGTTAAGATGCGGTAAAAGGAGGTGAATAGGAGCGAGGATGTTTCAGCAGTACCTCCATGGTTTAAGAGGGCTTCTAACCAATGAAACAAATATCAGGGTAGAAAGACTGGCATCAACATCTTTTGAGTCTTCCCCAACACCCTTAGCTAACAGAGGAGGCACCTCTGTAATAAGGTGAAAAAATTGGTCATCTAGGAGAATTTCTGAAATATTCACATTTCTGTGTGTGGAGAGATCAGGACATATCAAAAGGCAGTTTTCTCAGACACATTTTTGTAATTTTCTTTTATTCTTCAATCTCCAGAGAGTTTTGTGGCATCGCAGTAGATGTTACTATTACCATTTGAATTTTGGTTCCAGGTTCCTATGTGCTATGGCAACAAGTTAATGCTTTGGGTGATAAAATGACACAGATGCCATAACCTTGTGTGTCACTCTAATGACTTCATTAATCACTGTCCTCCAAACAGTATCCAAGTTATTCAACCTCAAATTAATAAAAGGTACACTGAAACATAAGGGACTGAACATAGACCATTTCCAGGATTTGTTATCTGGATTCAAGATAATACTCTCTGATCTAAATAGTATTTTCTAATTGGGATTCTAAATCCCTCAAGTAGTAGTAAAAAAAAAATAAAAATTATAGGCAGCAACAACCAGACTGTGACTATGTGCTGTGTGTATTTTAGATGATACAGCTTAATATTTTAACTCTGGCAGCTCAGTCAACCAGGTTATATCCAATTCTGGTGGAGCAGGATAACCAGCAAGTAACTCTTGAGACTCATCTAAGTATGAGTTTAGCTGCACTTGAACGCTGTAACACCTTTGGAAACATGTCAGTTGAATAGCTATTATGAATTTTACTCCAAAATTTGTAACTAACATTTTCGATTTCACTTGTTTTTGAAAGTACTTATTTTGAATGAACAAGAATGGTTTCCATGGGAATGGAAACATTTGGAAACTTTACCTGTAATAAGGACATGGAAGAAGTTAGAAAAATATACAATTCAGTGTGACAACTGTGACTGGTAATGGGTTCAGAACTAAAAGCAAGATATATCGGAACTTTCCAGCCTTTTGAATAGTCTGAATCACATCTCAACAAAGAAAATGTTGCTCATAGTCACATACCAGCTTGTCAGCAATCCTGAAATTTCCTTTGGGAAAACTGACTACTACTATTGCTACTTGTCATTCCAATAACAGCTGTGGAAACATATACTCTGATTGTAGAAAAAAAATGTGGCATCATTCACCATTACTGTTCTTTTCAAACCAGCAGGGAATTCATTGGGATTTATAAAAAAAAATCTGGTAAATTTGTAGACTTATCCATTACACTTCATTCATAGGAGCAAGAATTTTCTTCAGAGATTTGTCAATCAGAAAGAAAGTAGACAGGAGTCTGGCATACTGAATATTTGCCTTTCTTACCACAAAATACAATTTTTAATGAGGATTGTTCTTTCACCTGTTACCAAGGGTCTACATAAATTTGGAAATACATGTGTGTAGCATTCCAGCTAAATGTGAAACACATGGCTCTTTGATCTTTAACTGGGCACTGAAATTTATATGAATTCCATGGATGAACAAAGCTGATCAGAACTGACATCCGTTTCTGTCCCTTCACAGTCTTAGATATTTCATCAAGATGACAACTATGGTAGTGGCCATTTACAATATTGCTTTAGAAGATTACATGGTTTGAAGAAACAGCTCTGTTGACATAGCTGTTATTTCTGCTTCTCGGTTGATTCACTTCCTTCCTGCTCAATAACAGTCATAAGCACCATCATATAGCCAGGCCTAGATCAAGACTTCTCATTCGTAGGAAAAAAATTGAGACAAAAAAAGCACTGGGTCGCTCATAATTTTTCAGAAAGTGCGGGTGTGAGACCACCAGCTGATGACGGCAGGAGAGAGGCCATGCACTTTTCTCCTACAGGAATGATTGCCGTCTCGCACAGCACAGCTGCTTCTTCAGTGGCAGGGGCAATGTGTCTTTCCCAGGCTGTAGCACAGGTTGGCAAGCAGCAAGGCCATGGCTGTTTTGCAGCTGTCCCACTGTGCTTATGCATAGAATAAACTGTTGGCAGTATTAAATCTGGATGAGCTGTCACAGTGTCGCATACGAAGACAGAAGTAACAACTTGTACCAGAATACACTGTGTCCTCTGCTCAGACTGTTGTGTTCACTTCCGTGGAAATGCAGCTGACTTGAAATACAGTAGTGTTCCCTGGTTCCCTAAGAAAGGCTCAAAAATGGCTTAAAATGGGTATTTCATGAAGGAATTGAAGATGAACTCCAGCATCATTGAGTTGGATAGTCTGGTAAAACCGTCAGCAACTTCACAGTCTCTTATTTGGACCGATTTCATAAACCCATCTGCCTCACGCTGCACCGATTTGACCCACAGCAGGTGCTTCCCACTCTCGCCGCTCTTACGGCGACACAAACCAGGACGAAGCTGAAGCAGAGGGGTGCGGAGGGGGCGGCCTTAGCCGCAGCCCGGCCGCACCCC